TTGCTAAACATATTAAACCTTGCCGGTTTCCCAAGCCCTCCTTTGAAATCTGAATGGTAGCTTCTGTGACCCCACAACTCTTGCATTCTGAATGCTTGGTAAACCTGCATTATATGGAGGACACCAAACTGTGTAGTAGCTCAAGTAGCAGCCAGGCCCCTTTGGATGATGATGCAGTGGTTTCTGAGTGCCTGGACAGCTAAGTACAGTGAAATCACCCTGAAGTAAAACATCTCTTAGGTATTCCCTGCCTGAACAAAAGGCCTAATGGTTCTCAAAGACATACTCTTATATCTAAGAACCTGTGATGGGTGAGGTCTTGTTGATTTCTGAGAAGCTCTCAAGGCATCTTTCTTCATGACCTGGTACAAAGTACTTGGCTTCTTTGTGGTAGCCCTAGTCTTCTCAACAACCACGCCATCTCTGGCTCCAACTTTGCAGCCAGGCTTTTTTTTTTAGTACTGGGGATTGAACTTGGGTCCATGTGCTTGCCAGGCAGGTGGAGTAACCACTGAGCTAAATTCCCTACCCCTTTTTCTTTCTTTCTTTTTTTATTTATTTATTTATTTTTATTTTTGGTACCAGGGATTGAACTCGGATCCTTGCGCTTGCAAGGCAGGCCATCAAACCGCTGAGCTAAATTAAATCCCCAGCCCCCTTTTTCTTTTAAATTAACAGAAAATTGTGCATTTAGTTTTCTCAAAACCAAATGCTGGGGTAGCATATTTAAAGACTAACCAATAGCTCAGACATTCTTTGGATTTAATGCGTAATTACAATAGTCACATGCACATCTATATAAAACTAAAAAGTCAAAAGTTACTTCTAAAATCATGTGTCAGTAAAACCTGCCTAGTACTGGTTATACAATCTACATGACTTGTATACTAAATTGCTCAGCACACAAAAGAAAAATAGAATAATTTATATTTATAAGGTACTATTTTATGAACAACTGAAACTCAGAAAAAAGTGATCAGAGTGTCATAGGACAACTAATGCCCTCTTTCTCAAAATCCTTTACAAAAGGAGGTAGATTCGTAAATTTACAGTTCAAGGTCTGGTTTTTTAATGTTACTTTTTTTCTTCTTTTTCTTTTCATTTGCTTTCAGCTTAAGCTTAACTTCTTCAGCTGTAAGGGCTCCAAGTTTTTTATTCTTTGCTTTCTTAACCTTTTCCTTGATAGTAGCGACATCAATTTTAGTTTTAGTAAATACTTCCTTAGGCTTTGCAACTAGCTTCTCTTTAGGTGGAATAAAAGCTTTATTTCTTTCCTTTTCTCTTTCCCAGAGCTTCTGCTTGTTTAGCCTTTATTGCTTCCATTTTCTGTCGCTTCTTTTGATTTGCCTTCAAAAAGTATTCATCACTAGCCAATTCTTTGTCAATTTGACTTTCTGGCTGTGGTGGTGGGAATGGTGTATACTCTTTCTTAACAGTTTTCTTCTTGGGTTCTTTGCATTTATTCACATTCTTATGTTTGAACTGTGGCAAAAATCTTTCCCAACTTTGTGATCATATTTCAGAATCTTTTGCCAACTCTTTTGCCAATTATAAACTGGATATTCTTCATGGTATCTAGAACTACTTTTCAAACCTCTTTTAAGGTTTGAATGGCTGAAACTGTGTTTCCCTGAACCATAAGGTAACAGTTTGTTCAGAATTCTGATGCCTTTGAAGTAGATCCTTTGGGACCAATAAGTTGTCTTCTTTTACAAATCTTTATTGCTTACTAAAGAACCTATGTTAATGATATCACACACAATATCATCCTGATAATTTGTACTTCCTGTTCGAATGAAACACTTCTTGCTAACAGTTTTATTAGATCTCTGGCCCCGATGACGATGTATGGATCAAAAGTGTTCTTTGGGGCTGGGGATTTAGCTCAGTGGTTCGGCGCCTGCCTCGCAAGCAAAAGGACCTGAGTTCGATCCCCGGCACCAAAAAAAAAATGTCTTCTTTGTAGTACATATAGTCACGCTGCCCTCAATCAGGTCCAGGGTTGCATTAATGTGATGTTCATTCAAAGCCTTCTGCACCAAAAGCCAACACTCTTTCAAGTAGACCTCTCTATATTTAGGGAACAAAGGTGCAAAACTTCCCCCCAAAGAGTCCTCTGGGATTATCCTCTTTAGAACAGTGAGGAGTTCTGATTCATCTCCGTACTCTGGCTTGTTTCCGTATATGTGCTGGGGAAGCGAGCACCTGGCTTCAGTTTCTGGCTGCAAAGTTCACCTTTCTCAGGTGCTGCAGAGTCCTGTTCAGTGAGGAGGATGCCATTTGCAAACTGCTTAGGCTTTTTTTTTTCCTGGCCCAAACAAAAGTTTTTCAAATCTTTTGCCTATTTTTTGCTTCTTATTGTTCACTATAAATCTGGCTATAAACAGCCAGCAATACTTACATTTTGAAATAGAAGCTGTGGTCAGTAAATACATGGTAGCATTTGAAAAGTTCTGGAAAACAGGCTTACAGAAGGAAATTAGTTTGATCGTAGGATTTTTGAGGTGGTTTTATACTACAGCAGGTTTTAAATTATAGGTTTTCTTTCGGGTTTTTTTTTGGGGGGTGGTTTTGAGACAGGGTCTCACTATGTAGTTGAGACTGACCTGGAACTCACTATGTGGCCCAGGCTGGTCTCAAACTCACAGCAATCCTCCTGCCTCAGCCTCCCGAACCACCACTCTTGGAAAAATACAGGTTTTCTATAGTACAACAGAACCTCAAATTGTCCAAGTTTTCTTTTCTTTCTTTTTTTCTTTTTGCTACCAGGGATAGAACTTGGGATCTTGCACTTGCAAAGCAGGTGGTGGAACCACTAAGCTAAATCCCCGGCCCCTGTCTAAATTTTCTTAAACTACGTGGATAATGTATAGAAAATTGTCTCACATTCCCAAGTACTAGATCACAAAATACTCATATTTAGCAACTTAAAAGATGGGCCAGGGCTGAGGATTTAACTCAGTGGTTCCAGTGCCTGTCTTGCAAGTGCAAGGACCCAAGTTCAATTCCTGGTACAAAAAAAAACAAAGATGGGCTAAATTTTAAAATAATGAGAAGCAACGTTTAGAAGAGATAAAGATATCTAGAAAGGAATATGCAATCAGCCTCACTAAATTCAGGTTACCAAATGGAGCGACTTGGCAGAAGACCCACTCTGGGATTGGTGATTGCTCACAGCCTACATTGAGCTTTGCTATGTTTGTTTTACAAATTATATGAAAGTGCACAAAAAATGTAAAGTGGGAGACACTGGGGGAAAACTCATTTTAACTGCCTTTAAGCTCCTTTTATTTTTCTTTATTAGATATATCACTGGGCTCCACTACCTAAAGGGCTTGAAAAATTGTAAAGGATTTATATCACAGTATATCAATAGTTTATCAGGATGCGATGCTGGGGGCAGTGGCACACACGTTATCCCAGCAATGAAGGAGGCTGAGGCAGGAGGATCATAAGTTTGAGTTCTACCTAGGCAATTTAGTGAGATTGTATCAAAATATAAAATAAAAAGGACTGGGGATGTAGCTAAGGATGAAGGCCTAGACTTAATCCCTAGTACTGAAAAAAAATTATTGCTTCAGTTTTTAGCTGGCACATAAAAATAGACACAAAGACTGATCATCGGCCCTATGCTCAGGGCCGGGCATCAGCTGTTCCTCCATCACCCAACTTGTCCTCCCTCTTCAGCGGCTGGCCCTGTTTCCTGAGTCCTTTCAATCAGCACTGTCTGTGCCCCATGAGATGCCTGTGGGGATGACCTTCTGTCCACTTCTCCCTGTGGCGTGCATCTCAATAACTCCTGGCATGTCCCCCGTTGTCCTTAAGGGAACAATCAACCTTCAGTCTAACTTGGCACCCATTTCTTCAACTTCGGCCTCTATTCTCTACTTAGCCACAAAGGCTAAAGTTATGTATTCTTTACCACAGCTCTTTTCAAACTCAGTGGCCCCTTCTAAATTTCTGAATCTCTACACTGAAGCATGGTAAGGAGTTTGAATAAAATCCCAAGTATTTCAAAGGAACAGCTTCTTATACAAAAACCCCTCTTTTGGTTCCCTTTCTCCTGACTCTTATAATTGTTTCATGTTGGCATTGCTTCACTGGTTAATGTGCCATATCTCTGTGAGGTGCTCCCATTGTGTAACTGTAACATGCTATACTCTGAGTTATCATTTGATGCTGTTAATCACTGTGACATACAGATTACCTAGAGGCTGAGGTTGAGTAAGCTTATTTTAAATAAAAAATGTTCATCTTAAGGCAAACTTAAGTACTCATTAGCCTAATTATTTTCTTCCAAGCATATTCCTAAGGGCAAATATTAAAAGTCTTAAATGCAAGCCGGGAGAGGCGGCACATGCCTGTAATCCCAGCACTCAGGAGGCTGAGGCAGGAGGATCACTGTGAGCTCAGGACTAGCCTGGGCTACATAGGTGAGTTCCAGGTTAGTCTGAACTACATGAGACACTGTCTCAAAAAAAAAAACCAAAAACAAAACAAAACAAAAAAAGTCTTAAAGGCAAGATTTACAACTTCAAATAGTTTTCTTCTTCTTTTTTTTAATACCAGTGATCAAACTCGGGTCCCTGTGCTTGCGCGGCAGGCAGAGGAACCACTGAGCTAAATCCATAGCCCCAAATTGTTTTCTTAAAGAACATTTCTTGATCCACTGATTGGCATGGTTGACATATTTGCTTTTTAAATTCCTTTTGGCGCCTTACTTCAGTAACACGTTGGCAATAAAATACTCAGACTATGTCTAAAACTTGAGATGCAGAGTTATAAACGTTAAATCCTCTGTGTGTGTACAGTCATATGTTGTTCACGGGTGTCAGGTCATGCTATTTAAGTAGAAGGCCTAGGAACATAATAAGGCTTTCTACCACACAGTGTAACCAGAATTTTATTAATAAAGAGAAGGTTAAAACCTAAACTTTCAAGTCCCTTTGCAGTTTTAGCATAGGATTTTTATAAAAATTGACTAATACTTTAAAACTTACCTGAATTGTTCGTATGAAAGACACTGTTACTCGTTCCTCAAATTCATTCAGGGGAGTATAAAGGGTTAAAATTTTCACAATCTGTCAGAATGAAAACAAAGTTTAGCACAGAACTAAATGAGCAGAAGTCCACTTCTGAACTTTAGGGGATTATATAACATCAGAATAAGAGAAGACTCCTCTATAGACAGGACCTACAAAGCAGATGGAGCTACACTGACCCCGATACTAGGGGTCTCCATCCACGGCTGTGCCTGGTAGATCTAAGCTTCTTTACCACATCTGTGTCCACCTGTCCCTTCCTCTGTTCTTGTAAACAATGAAGAGTTTAGAAAACTGTTACCTGAAATCCTCAATCTCTTATTTACTAGTAATTTAAGAGTTTCTTCCAAAAAATACTGGGGATCTTAACATTGGGTGAGAAAGGTCTTACTTAATAACACCTTAATACCCTTACACCCTCTTCTCCCCATTAAAAAATTCTTTTACGTATGAACTGTCTTATCTGAAATGGAGATCATCTTTTTTCTGCTTACCAATTTATTTGATGGAAGTAGCCTGCCCCAAAGCAAAGCCAGTTGCATTTCAAAAGTAAACTTATGAAAGTAACATATATTTAAAAGTAGGGAAAAGTTGGAAACTTTCAATACATTAGCAGGAAGCAGCAGTTTTATTAAGAGTTTGATAATATATCTTTTAGTAGTTATTGGAGGAGATAGCAACTAACTACTGTGTTAAAGTTTGGAGTTGGCTGTTTCTAGGTGCTGGTTGGGAAGAAGATGCACTTTGTATGGAAGTCTGATTTCCTTGTGCTGGTCTCCAAGTTCATTTCCAAATAGGTACACTTATAACGAAGGGCAAGATTTACCTGTCTGTGAATATAGTGTCTACAGTGGTATGTATGTATGTATGTATGTATGTATGTGTGTGTGTGTGTGTGTGTGGAGTTGGCTGTTTCTAGGTGCTGGTTGGGAAGAAGATGCACTTTGTATGGAAGTCTGATTTCCTTGTGCTGGTCTCCAAGTTCATTTCCAAATAGGTACACTTATAACGAAGGGCAAGATTTACCTGTCTGTGAATATAGTGTCTACAGTGGTATGTATGTATGTATGTATGTATGTATGTGTGTGTGTGTGTGTGTGTGAATAGGGAGTGCCAGGGATTTAGCTCAGTTGTTCTGCTGCCTGCCTCGCAAGCACAAGGTCCCAAGTTTGATCCCCAGTACAAAAAAAAGAGGCATTGTATTTATTATATATTATTAAATACCTTTCATTGATTTCTTATAAAACAATAAGTTATCAGTGAAAATATGACCATACTGAAATTATAATATAATGAAAGCAAATAATTATAAAAAAAGTAAATGCCTGATGCTATTTCAGAATTTCAAAAAATTTCTAGGTAAGAAACAATCTAGTATTCATTGTTTTAAAAAGTTGCTACTTAGGTTTGATATGTTATGGGTTTGCTACTTTGTCTTTCAAGTGAGTAAGGATACAGGAATTATGGGAAACAGCTCACAGACCAAAGTGGTCTCAGTACATCCCATCAATGGCAAGCTCAGAAGTATGTCAGTAGGGCATATAAAGGTTAGGAGAGAACACTAAAAAGAACCACTGGCAAGAACGGATTGGAAACAGAAGAGGAGCTTGCCTTGGGTACCATGGCTGATAGAGGCCTAGAATAACTGTACCTGCTGCGTGCTGAGGGAGGTGCACAGAGAGCAGATGGCCTCTGCATCCTCATGAGTTTTCTTCTTTAACTGCAGGAGTTGAGCTGCCTGGATCAGAGGTTCCATGGTCTGAACTGCTCCACTCTGGTGAAGGTTTCTTCCTCGAAGCCACTCTTCAAGTTGGCTTATGTTGTACCTTAGCCATAGTAAGAAGTAATTTATTGGCACCAGGACACCTGCTGTGTTTTGCAGGCCTGTTGCAACTCCTATTGTTCTCTTCACCTTAATTATCGCATATGGCTAGAAGCCTGAGAATCGCTTGACACTCAGCTACTATTTGTTGAATGAAAAATGAATAAAGGAATGAATGGGTGCTTACATTTAAGCAAAGATTAAATACTTGACATGACCATATAAATTAATTTGGGAGGGAGGTATTAAATATACTGAATTTAAAAACTCGTATTCAATATCACAAATACATCTATACTTCTGTGAGCCTTCATGCCTCTTAACTCATTGATTTCTCTCTTACCTAGGCACATTGATCTAGTCTTCAGACTATGTAATCTTCTTTAAGCTTTGATTTGTTTACTAAGTCATCATCTCAGATTTGATGAATTTTACCAACCAATAAAAAGGAGATTTGAGTCACATACTGACTGTGACAAGGAGAAACAACTGCACTCTGATTTGACTTCTAGAGACCGACAATGCCTTGTGTTCTGATCCCACTCAGTGTGTTGGAGTGAGGTCCTCTCACCTGAGTTGCATCCCTGTGCTCCAAGAGCAGATGTCCTTCCGCAGGAGGAGGTTGTTGAGAGTCACTGCGTTGATCATGTAGAAGAGCTGTTTGAATACCTGCAGGATGATCTCAGGATCTAGGCCCTGCTCACACATCACCATATGAAAGGAATTCATCTGGTGGATGATAGCTTCCAGGCAGTATGAGTTATCCCCATCCACCATGCTGGAGGAGCGCTTCCGGTAGCCCATTGGCTTCACACCAGACAGACCCTGAATGCTTTCATTTTCCAGCATGGCAGAAACTGAAAGAAAAGCACAGTTGCCCTCAAGCAAGTCCACCACTGGACCACTCAGGTCAAACAGTGCGTGGGGCTTTAGCAATGACACATCCCAGAGGTGTACAATATTGACCCGCACAGGAATTTATCACATTTGGCAAAAAATCTCTAAAGTGTTGGACACTATATGGAATAGTTATAGACCACATTTTCACTTAAACTTATTGGTGATGGGACAAAGATAGTACAGATGTATGAGTTTGATTCTGTTCGGTCTGTGCTAAGAGTTAAAGTTTGAGAACTGAGCAATTTGGGTGTAGTTACCGCTCTGTCACTATGCCAAAATTAGCTTAGTAGGTCCAACCTATTTACTGAGCAGCATTTAACTGAGTGCCAGGTACTTTATGTTTAGTACTTCTTTTAATCATCCAACAACCTGTGAGGTATTATCTATTTTACTGATGAGAGAATTGAGGCACAAAGTGATTAAATAATTTGCAGTCATATTGTTAGGCAGGGTGAGGATCTGAAGCTAGATCTGATTCCAGAACTGGTGTTAGCAACCATCACATGATGGTGAGTTCTGAAGAATCTCTGGCTTGATGTCAGTTTCCCTATGTGGTGCCTTAGGAGCCTGCCAGAGAGGCAGGAGGATTTGGAATGACCTCCTCCCAAGATATATCCTTTTGGATTGGTGCTACATGGAATTCATCCATAGCCTATTGGGCCGTAAGAACCAGGAGAAGGCATTACACACAGGTTGAGGTTCAGTCACCTCCCAGCCTTCATGGAGTGCATGAGAGTTTGTATTTATTACTGATTGAAATTATTTGCTTTGGGAAAAATAATACTATATACCACAGGAAAAGAGATAAAGGAAAAATCATATCACTATACAACCAAATGCATTTTTTGTGGGATGGTTTTGAAAATTTCACAGGTCATTTAGGTGTGGCAAGCATACCTACTCATGCCTTCACTGAGAAAACCTTTGCTTTGTGGAGACCACGGCTAATATATTTGGTTCCTAGAAGGTAGGAGAGCTTACTACAGCCACCCCTCATTCCGGGCCCCAGGACAAGTCCCAGAAACCTGTACAGGCTTACCTATCATAGGCTGCAGCAAGCCCTCGGCGATTTTAATGAGCTGCTGGTAGATCTGAATGGAAAGATCACTCAGCACCTGACGGTATTCAGTGAGGTCAAAATTCTTAAGACAGTGCTCATTCTGCTTCGCGGTGTTTTGGGTCATGAAGCCCTGTAGAGGAGAGGTGTGCATTCCTGAGATTCTATGATCTCTTGGGCTCAGAATGACTTTGGGGGCTCTGTTCATGTTGTGATTTATATCTAGATGTCCTCCTTAAAGTTTCAGGCACTCCTAAGTGGGGATTTTGGAAGGTGACTGGATCATGTAGATTAGTCCACAGATGAGGTGATAGCTAAAGGTGACTTGGGAGATGAAACCTGGTCAGAGGAGCTGGGTCACTGGGGATGTGGCCTGGAAGGGTCTTATCTCCTCCTCTCTTCCCTTGAGACCTCTCTCTGCTTCCCGCTGCCATGCCACGAGCTGTTTCTCCTCTACAGTATGAACTTCCTTGGAGTTAGCTGCCTATGAACTGAAATCTCTACAAACCGTGAACAAAAACAAACAAACAAACAAACAAAAAAACCCCTCCCCTTAATTTGTGGGTATCAGGTACTATATCTCAGCAATGAGAAAAGTAAAGCAGGTCTCATTAGTAATTCCCAGGCCCTCCCTACTTCTTATCCATTTTCAAGGCCTTGATGATAGCCCTTCAACTTGAAGGCAGTGCAAAAAACTCAGTATGACAGAGAAGTCAGAACTGTGTAATTAAAGAGGCCTAAATCATGAAGTCCAAATCTCTGTAAAGTGATTTTCCTAAAGTACCAAAATGTAGGTTGCCTGTACAATGAGACACTTTATATGGCTTCTATCACTGACAATCAGAAATAACAGATGAACTGAACTGATTCCATGTATTAACCAGATGAAATAACATGTAAGTTATAACAACTGTCAATATTGAAAGGATTCATTGAACAATGTCCTTTTTATTCAGGTCAAGGGAGATCAATAGCAGCTAAAAAGATCAGTGCTTTCAAAAAGGTGAGCATTTCCAGCAAAGCCTCTTGTACGGTGACAAGGTATAAAGCAATTTTTTTTTTTTTTTTTTTTTTTTTTTTTTGTACTGGGAATCGAACCTGGGTCCTTGCTCTTGTGAGGCAGGTAGTAGAACCACTGAGCTAAATCCCCGGCCCAAAAGCAATTTTTAATGCAACAAAAGGAGGAAGAATAGTGAGTAACTGGTTGCAAAGAAAGTCTTTCATTCTTCCTCATTAGACTACCCAAACTTGGTCACGTGCTGGTTAAAGTCTTGTCTGAGATCACCAGCACACAGAACAATCTACATTCTACTTAGATGTCTATTAACATGGGGTAAAGTGATAAATCTCTATTAAATAACATTAACTGTCACTCTTCACCTCAAGAAAGAACAAATTGTATCATAGTTACACAACAGAAGGCCATTTCTTTCACTTTTTAACTCATTCCTTTCAGAATTAAAGCCTCAAACTGAGGCTCTGATTCTCAGGAGAGATGTTAAATCACGCTGCCATCCAAAGAAGGTAAGACTGACGGGGTTGGCATCTCCTCATATTGTCTCACAGAAAAGAGTGTCAAAATCTGTTCTGGCATAAAAGGTGGAATGAATCTCTAAAAATTGTGTGTGGTTCTCATCTGCACTACATTTTGACTGTGGAAAGTGTGGATAGTGAGATATGTGAAAACAAGGGGAGAAAGGGAAGTAGAGGAGATCTGAAGGAACCCAGGAGTGGGCAGGACAGGAGTGAGCGGGGATCTCACTGGAGACACTAGGTGGAAAGGGCACCATTTGATAGGAGGTCACTGGGCTGAATGCAGAGCACAAGGGCGGTGCTTTCAGGGACCAGAACTGAGGAGGGCGAGTTCTACATTGAGCTAATCCCCAGAGGTCCCAAGAGGAACACAAAATGATGGTATCAGTTGCCATTCAAGTAAAATTTGAAATCATTGGGCAAGTAATCAAATTTGATTAGAAACAAGAAGCTGGGCCTCGAGGTCATTCTACAGTAATGTAGTTCTGATAAGGGACTGAATTCTTTACTTGTGACCACCTTTACCAATCTTGAACAGGACAAACTAATCAGGTGACTTAGGATATAGTTGGAGACACCAAACTCAGCTGGAGATGGGCTCTTTTACGATGGCTTCAGAAATATAAGGTCATTAGGATTTCCCTGAAGAATTCCAGGGGCTCTCAGACAATGGGTGGTTAAACAAACTCATTTTCCTATCAATTCTACTTACTTAAGGGGTGCTTTTCAGGGGGCTCTGGGCTCATCAAAGCCACCTGGAGCTAGGTCTCCTGTGGCTTCCACTCACCAGGGATGATAAGGCATGCTTACAGTCTGAGGTCCCAGAAGGTGCTCCAAAGACCTTACATCATGGTCTTAGGGGGTCCAAAGCAGGGATGCCTTTTGGGAACCCATCTTAGTACTCACCTCATCTCCACTGTACTGCTTCAAACAGTGAAGGAGGCGGCAGGTGTTAGATAACCAGAATGTTGTCATCTCAAAATCGTCATTGTGCTTCTGCGAGAAGAAATGGACATTCCCAGCTATGAGTTCCTGTCAGGTGAGAAGCTTACTCTCTACTTATCTTTCTATCTTTCCCATTATTATGTAGCCGCCCAGACTGGCAGGGCACTTGTCAGAGAGAAGACCCCTTGCTGAGAGGTTGTGTCCCTGTTCCTGCATTACCAGGAAGAGTACACAGAACCCCCGCTGAACCCCTGATCAGTGATGCTCATGTAGGAAAGCACGTAAGAAAAAGCTGCTCCCACCACAACTGACGAACATGGAAGCCAGGTGGCGCTGAGGATGCTCAGCCCCACAGCCCCAGGTGCTAGTCTATCCCCCTGGTCCGGCTGGCCCTGATTCCAAACTATCAGCTCTTCAACAAAGTGATTTCAGGGAGCAGGGCCATGAAATATCCTGGTGTTTCATGGATGTAGAGGGCAGATGTCCAATAATTTCAAGTACAGAACATGGCAACAAACTCTTTACTAAGTGAAAAAGGCTGCTCAGCTACCCAAACAGTTATGATTCAGTTTCTGCACCACAGAGCCCATTCTTGGAGGCAAACATCAGCATTATTTAAATGGCAGAAAGTGGGATGAGCTGACAATAAAAAAGTTGAACAGCGACAGCTGGAGGAGGCTAATTTAGTTCAGGATAACAGTGAGGCTTCCCTAAGGAAGCGATGCAGTCAGACCCAGGGCTGAGCTGGGCTGGCCTAAGACTCCAGGTGGGGACTGTTAAAGAGTCAAAGCCAGAGAAACAGATCTGAGAGTCACTGGTGTGTGGATGACACGTATTTAGTGCTGTGAGTGGTCTAAATTGCATATGGAGGCTAGAGCAGGGAAGGCAAGAATGAGGGGCAGCTGCCAGGAGCATGAAGCCAGAAGCTAAAGGCTGGCTTGGTGTTCTCAGAGCAGGGACAATGAGCTGGCAGACCCAGAACTTGTCTGGCCTCAGTGCTCTCGAGGAAGGCTTGCATCTGAAGTGACAGTATGGGTGGGAACTGAAGACAGTCTCTAAGAGTAATAATAGTTGGGGCTCATGTCGCTGGAGGCAGAACACCTCTTCCTGAGGGCCAACCTCCCTCAAAAGTCTCCCCTTGCCACCACACGGCCCAGCTTTCTGTGAGCAGACCTCGACTTTGAAGGCTATCCTGTGTCTACCCTGGTGAGAGACTTACGTCTTTAGGCAGCATTCCTGAGCTGCTTCAACACCTGTGACAGCTGCCTCACCTTGTAAGGTGACGAATGCCAACAGTTCTCCTTGTGCCACACCCTGGGCAGTAAGCACCTGGTCCCTTAAAAACATGAAAGAGTGCCTGGCTCCAGATGTGGCCCTGAACTGTGTCTACACCACTGGCTGTAGCAGGACAACTCAGCATCTGTGGCACTCAGCAGACAAGCCTTCCCTAATTATAGTGCTGGGTGTCTCTGGAGGCCCAGCAGAGAGGTGGCTTTAGGTCTACACTGGAGTTCTGAGCTTCCTGCCATTTTTTTGGGGGGGGTGCAGTACTGGGGATTGAACTCAGGACCTTGCACTTGTGAGGCAGGCACGGTACCACTGAGGTACCGTTGAACTAAATCCCCAGCCCCTCTTAGGTAAACCCCCAGACCGCTTCCTGCCATTTCTGAGCCTGCATCGTTTGGCATCCCTGTTACCACAGTTTGAGGCTTAACGGAACCTGCTTCTGCAGAATCCAGATAAAGAGAAGCAATGGTGAGATGCTACCTTCATCCAGTCTACTGTAAACCCCGAAGCCTCTTACCTTCAGGACTTTCTTAATGCCACTGATGGTGGAGGTCAGCAAGGAGTGCACCTTGAGGTCATCATTGGTGTAATCCGCATGTCTGATGCACATGTAAAGGATGTATGCAGGGAGACAAGGCACTGTGCCAGACAACATCTGGGGCTTCAGGTCTAACAGTGACAGCAAGAGTGAGATTCATGGGGTCACTTGGGCCATCAGAGTTCTCACTTCAAATAAAAATGTTTACACAGGCTGGGCGTGGTGGTGCATGCCTATAATCCCAGCACTCGGGAGGCTGAGGCTGGAGGATCTCTGTGAGTTGAGACCAGCTGGGCTACATAGTGAGTTCCAGGTCAGTCTCAACTACATAGTGAGACCCTGTCTCAAAAACAAAAACAAAAACAAAAAAATTGGCAAAAATGTTTACACAGTATTTCCTTGCTGATCACCTAGAAATAGACTTTTCACAGAAGGGTCAGGAGAAAATGAAATAAAGTGCCCAGATTACACAAATTCTTTCTGACTTCAACTACCAATAGTTGCAGACACCAGTGAAAAAAATGAAACTAGCTGGGGAGTGGTTGTGCACACCTAATCCCAGCACTCAGGAGGCTGAGGAAGGAGGATCTCTGTGAGTTCAAAGCCAGCCTGCACTACAAAGTGAGACCTTGTCTCAAAAACAGAAAAGAAAAAAGCCCAAACCAAATCAAAACAAAACTAACTTCCTAATTGTTTGATCTACAATTTATTTAAAACAGGCTTCTAAAGCCTTATCCTCACAACATATAGGAAAAAGTCCCATAAGTTACACACAGATGTGATGGTCCTCAGCCAAGAAGGGCTTTGTGGTCAGAGGCAGGCTGTAGACAGCAACTGGCTCCCTCACTGGTGAGTACACACGAAGTCTAATTCTTGGCACATTCACTCCCTGCTGTGGGCACTCTATTATGTTGGCTCTCCAACAGCCAGAGTATAAAGGCAGGCCCCAGGCGGATTTGGCCCAGTGTGTGTTCCCAAAGACAGAACCAATCTGCCAAGGGCTGGGAGGAACCTCTGTCCTATGTAGCCATCATTATGGGACTGAATTGCCTCACAGCACCAGCCCTGATGTCTCACAGCCAAAGAGCCTAGCAGGCCACTGTCACCCTGCCTCCTTCCCAGCACTTCCCGAGCCAGTCACTTCTCCCAAGTCTTCTCTTCTGCATCCCCCCTGCCCACCTTCCCCCAAACAGGTCTTCTTAGGTAAAAATGTGAGGCCTTGTGACTCTCCCCATGACCTGCATGCTTATACTCAGCTCTTTGGCCCTTTCCTGCTAAAGCCCCTGGAGAGCCAGGGAGAAACTGTCAGCCTGCTTACTAATGCAGAGTATGCTGAGGGAGCCCAGAGACCTGGATTAAAGTAGGAAGGGATGGCAGGAGCTCAGAGATGTGGGAAGAAAGGCCTGGTGCAAAGGCAAGATGACAGGTGAGAGGGGCCCTGGGACTCTCACTACACCCTGGCCCTCAGCTTCACTCTCATCGCCTGCCCAAAGTAAGCCCCATGAACCCCTTTAGCCTTGGAATGCAGTGAGGGGAAGCCATCCGTGCTCTACCAGCAGGTAGGCAACACCCTCGAGACTTCCGCTAGGGCTGATCTGGGTTGGGTGGGCCATGCTGCCTTATTTCCATTTGCTACTTAGTTTATTCATCCATTCAAATGCACCCTTCCAGTTAAATGATAACTACAGGCCTTAATACTGTGGGTATTGACATTTAGGCATTATGTAAATTCAACAAATGGCTGTACTTTGACCCTTGGCTCTAATTAGAACACCAATAGTATTTATCCAGAAAAAAAAAAAAAATTATAGGCCCAGACTTCCAACCCCTAACTTCTTACTATCTTTAAACAGCCTTTCTTGGGCTTCCCAGATAGATCTAGGTATCTCTAGAGGAGACCATGACTTTCCTTTCTTCTCTCCTCCAAAGCAGTGTGCTAGTGCTAAGTTTCTAAGAGGTGATCCATCTGTTTGGATGGGGTCTTCTGGGGGCAGATGACTGGGTGCTTTTCCTGGGGAACTCAGCAGAAGGTGATCTTGCCCAGAGCCACTTTAGCAATGACAGCAGCAAGAAGCCACCAGCATGGCATTTATTTAACTTATTAAAGTAGGCAATATTATTTTGTGAACTCTGGTGCTGTGAACTTAGAGCTTCATTAACTAGTATAAAGGTTTGTTCCTAACAGATGCAGCCTGTTTAAAGAAGTTTCAGGTGAGCTTGTGTCACATTTAATCATTGAACAATTATAGAGCAAATTAATATTGATAAAAGAGCAAAATGTTCAGCTATAAGCGGACTACTAAAAACAGCCAAACTAAACTACTGGAAGAAAGTCCATTTTAGGCAGAAGTCATACCTCATTCTTCCTGTACACCAGGCTTAGGCACAGTGCTCTGCGGAGTGGGAATTCAGTAATCTGCACTGAATTCCTTTACACTTATGTTTGTCTCTCACTTGAACTTTAAAAAGCCAGTAAAAGCTCACTTGAATGCCTCACTTTGAGAAGACTTTGCAGTTTCTACCCAGCACTTTCATCCCTGTTATACATCTGATGAGGTAGGCAGGGTCTGTTCTACTGTGCCACTTTACAGATGGGGACACTACACATCACAGAGAAGGGAGCTAAACCTTGGGATGCAGAGGATAAGACCACAAAAGATTCTTCCTCCTAGCTCTGCAGAAAGCTGTTGGACTGGCCTGGGCACAGAGCAGGAAGGTGGTCTGTTGAAGCACGTGGGGCATGAGGCCAGAGGGAGGAAGTGATATGACTGGCAAAGCACGCTGAGGTCAGTGGGGAAAGCAGCTCCAAAGAGCTCTGTGTGCCAGCCCAGAAGGCAGCACCCTCTCCCAGCCATATGGAATTATCCAAGCACAAACATGAGCAACCCACAATCATGACACAGACCTCACTCTGATTATCCAAGAAAAGTGACCCTGAGGGGCAGAAGGCAACAGGGAAAACTCTCATCTCTTGGTAGCTGAGGTAGTAGGTGGACCAAACTGGGGACCAAGCTGGGGTGGGAGGCTCTGCAAAGTAGCTCCAAGAGCTGCCTAGTATCACCGGGGAGCACATCAGGGCCAGGCAGGTCAGCCCTGACACCATCACATGCCCGGTGAGAAACTGCAGATGATCGCAGGGAACAGTACTGGCCAACCTCGATGAACTTCCATGATAGGCCAGCAGGATGCTGACCTCGGCACTCTGTAAGCATGAACTCAGTGAGCATGTGAACTACGTTTTTTGCTACATGGATTCTGATTCAAGAAGTCTACAGCAGAACCTGGTATTTTTCATTTCTAGCATTTTCTGAGAGGATGTCGATGCTGCTGGTCCATGCAGTGAGCAACTTATTAACCTTGATTTTCATAATTGTGTACTGCTGCTACATTGTCTTCCCCACATCACTCCTGAGAATGCTGGTCCTCAGCCAGATGGCCAGGAAGGAAAGGGCCATGTTTGCAAACAGGGTGCCCAGCTCCAGACCCATACTCATATGTGCTATATCACACAGCATTTATAAAGTGTAAAGTTCTGCACAAAAAAAGGAATTTGAACTTTGATCCACTACATATCTATTGGGTGACATAGGCAAGTTATGAGAGTGATCTCAATTTTGTTTTATAAAATGAGAGTAGCAGAGTACCTACTTAAAAGGCTGTTGAGGGGATTAAATAGGACAAGGACAGGAGGCTGAGGTGGTTGACAGAGTTTCTGGCAGCAGGACTCTCCTATGAATCTGAGCTGACTGCCACAGCGCTGTCACCCATACCAGGCTTCACTGAGCAAAGGGGAGCTGTGGCTGCCACTGGGAAGAAGTGAGTGGCAGCTGGAACCATGCTGGTGGCTCCATCCTCACCTACCACAGACAGAACAGACACCTCCCTTTCCTGAGCTTATATGGGGCTCCAAATGGGCGAAGTTTTTTACCTGGAAAAGCAGTGGGTTGTTCTTAGGAGCAGCTGGAACAGTGGGAATGAGGTAGAGGAGAGGAGTGGGTAGGGCCGTGTGAGGGCTGGGGTTGAGGAGGGACGTGCTGTGGACAGGAATGGGAAGGCGATGTGAGGACTGGTGTGCAGGGTCCTGACCTTTCACCAGGTTCCGGATAAGGAGGGCCTCATCCTCCTTGTGGTACTCCAGCATGCCCTGGAAGTCCTTCTCTTTCCGCTGGACTGTGACCTGCCTGGTGAGCTCATGGCGCCTTGTGTCACTCTGGGCCAATGCCTGGGCAGCTGAACGCGAGAGAGAGGACAGGAAACACGAATGAGGACTGTTACAGTTTATATCTTGGTGTCCCTCTAAAGCCTCATGAATGCTTCTGGATGGGGCTTTTGGGGGTTGACTGGATCACAGGGGAGCGATACTCATCAGTGGGTCCATGGATGATTTCACAGCTAATTGTAATTTGGGAGGTAAAGCCTGGTCGAGGAAATGGGCCACTGGGAGAGTGGTCTGGAAGGGTCTCTATCTCCTTCCCTTCTCCCTGGTCCCTCTGTGCTTCCTGACTGCCATGAGATGAGCAAGCCCGCTCTGCCACACCCCACACCCCATGCCGCCCTGCCTTGGTGCCAGCCAACTGTAGACTGAAACCTCAACAAACGGTGAGCCAAAATAAACCTTTCTTCCTTTCAGTTGTAGGTGTTGGTGTTGTGTCCCATTGACAAGAAAATAACTAATAAGGGTGTCCGGCTGCAGGCCGGAGGGGGGAGGGCTGGGTCTGGGGGACAGTGCTTCCACGCTGAAAGTGATCTATAACAGTAGCCTGTACCACCCCCTCAGTGTGGCCTTAAGATCCAGCAGTTAATTCTGTGTCCACTCCAGACAAGGGGAGGAGAAACTTTTGAAATGGCAGTGGGAAGGTTTTGGAGCAGAGAAAACTTATGAAGGGTATGAAAGAGTAGGATGTTCAACCCATTCTGTTGGCAGTGCTTCTTTCTCCCTATGAAGTTGTAAGCAAAGTGGGCGGGGGGCATCTTTCTGGGAGTATGTTGTAGCCCTGGCCAGACCTGCTCTGCTTGGCTCCCTTGTGTGGCCAGAGAGCAGACACCATGACACAGCTGTAGTGCAACTGCAGGGGTCCAAGACCAAGGACACTGCCTGTGGCTGTGGGCGGGGAAGCAGAATGGTGTCCAGGGTGCAGAGAGGCAGGCTTGGGAACCTGCTAAATGCAGTCCATGTGACTGCGGAGGTAATTATTCAGGAGGAGCTTTGGTGGCACAGTTGGGGGTTATAAAGCCATGGTCAACCCTCACTCAAGTCTTCCTGCAGCCTGACCCCAGAGAGAAGGGTGGGACACACCCACAGATTTAACCTCCAGGCACACTGGGTGTCTACTGAACATAGGGCACTGTTCTAAGCACTGAGCAGATACAGTGGATTCTCCAGCCTTGTCCCTGGCCAGTCTAGGCAAGGAGATGCATCTGATCTTCACGTGGAAGCATGCTGTCCAATACAGCTTGGGCAGGAGCCAGGCCAGGAGTGTGCACCGTGGGTGCTGACAGCAGCTGAAGCTGCAAAGGCTCAAAAGAGTAGGTGGGATGAAGGATGGGTATGACTCAACTACTAGGCAGAAAGGAGCTGGTTCATCAATCTACCAGGTCCCACTTCCACAAGCTCCTGAATGGGAGAGAAACAGGGAGGCTCTGTACATGTGTGGAGGGGCAGTGTGGAGAGGAGCACCAAAAGACAGCTGGGTTTTGACTTTGCAGGCCATGGGGAGGGAGTAGAGGACAGAGTGCTGTGGCCAGAGGCAGGGCCTGGGAAGCTACTAAGTCATCCGGGGACAGGGGACAAGGACTGGTCACAGGAGGAGAGGAGGGGCAGACACAGGAGAAAAAGGAATGATAGGTTTTCAAAACTAAGCCAAAGGGAGAAGCTGGAAGCCAAGAAGCTAGGAGAATGAAAACAAACAGAAAAGGAAAAATCCAAATAAGGAGGAGCGCCGTGGGCAGGAATGGGGAGAGACCACCAGCTAGGAAGAAAACATGCCTGCCTGTATGGGAGCATGTGCATGGACATCCCTGGCCTCCTAGAGCCTCTGGTCTATAGCAGCAGGTGGGTTTAAGTGGATGATTAAGCAAAATAACATCTGTGATCAGGACTGTGCCAACATGTTGCAGTGTTGGGACGGCATATGACAGGAGCCCTAGGGTGGTAGCTCTTGCGCTAAAGGTGGAAGGATAAGAGGGACATCAGGAACGAGGGGCCACCCAGAGCTCCACACAGAGTGGCATGTGCTTAAAGAGTGGCATGCTTAGACGTGTAGCAGGGGGTCAGAGCAGAGGTGGTTCTCAGTGCTTTGGAAGTGTGATTTAGATAACTTTCTAAAGTGGACTCCAGACTGGATGTGAGGAGTGAGGCCCCTGGAGATGGGGGGTTCTTCCTCTTTACCCCAGAAAGTACTGTAAGCCCTTTGAAGGCAGGAACTACCAGGTCATTCTCTGTGCCCCACTTCTCCCACTCCACAGATCTTTGGGTCAGAGTAAGCACCGAAAACCCGCTTAATTCACATTTTCCATCTGGACTCTGACTACTGAGAATATGCAAACTCATGGGGTCTGAATTCTTCTATTGCATGGCTAGAGCAGGCACAGCCACCAGAAAGATGGCAAAGTGGATAGTATACCAGCTCCCCCTACTGGAATAGCCACATGCATCTCTGCCTCACAAAACACAACACACTTAAACACACTCTACCTTCTAAGTCCTGGACCTTCTTCATGTAAATCTTCAGTTGTTTTTTGAGCTTCCTCTCATTCTTTTCCAGCTTCTCAACCAATTCTTTAAGGTCCTGAAAAGGAGGAAGCAGAGTTAGAACAGACTTGAGCACTACTCTGGATGGCAGGTAAAGTACTTGCTAGGAGGAGAGGAACCAGAGTGGCTTGCAGGCAACTGTCCAAGGGGCCCAGCCAGTGCCCCAGCTAGAAGAGCTGCCCCTATGCAGGCTCAGCTCCTTGTGGTGCAGCTTAGAAAGCAGGCAAGCCCAGGAAACAGGCATGAGTCAGAACCCATTATCTCAACAATCACAGGGCAAATTCTTCCTGGTTCCGGCACCTCCTAGAATCCCAGGGCTCCCCAAGCCAAGTTTCCTCAGGTTGCTATGCCAACCTCCAGGAGAAACTCAGCCTGGGTGTCCTGGGGAAGGGTGGGCAATGCCCTGGGAAGGAAAGGACAGATGGAGGTATAGGAATATGGGCACAGAGGGAATTGGCTGGAGGGCAAGTGAGATTACCTGTGACCCAGAAGTCAAACAGGGTGCAGCTGTGGACCCAATCCCTAGCAACTGTTGCTACTGGAAACAAGTCAGCCCATTGGGGCCCAGAACAGCAAGCAACTGAGGGAAGGATTTTGCTGCCACTGATGTCACCCTCATCGAGCTAAGCAATGATCTTCCATGATGGGGGGCCCAGAAAGGAGGTATCTGTTCTGTCATTTTTATAGTACAGCCTCAGTGACTCAAGTGATGGAAAAGACAAAAACAAACATGATCTCTTGGAACCTCCAAAGGTATCTTGGGTGACAATTCTTTTTTTAAAAATTTTTATTTTTGTTTGTTTTTTTGAGAGAGGGTCTCACTATGTAGTTGAGTCTGACTTGGAACTCACTATGTAGCCCAGGTTGGTCTCGAACTCACAGCGATCCTCCTGCCTCAGCCTCACGAGTGCTCTGATTACAGTTGGATGACAATTCTTTAAAGCTGGCTCATAGAGTCAGCCAAAAACTCAATCCCAGTGCTGTGGCCAATGAAGACAATAAACCGAGTCATGGATACTATAATGACAACGAGTGCTAGGATTACAGTTGGATGACAATTCTTTAAAGCTGGCTCATAGAGTCAGCCAAAAACTCAATCCCAGTGCTGTGGCCAATGAAGACAATAAACCGAGTCATGGATACTATAATGACTTCATTTATTTATCTTGATAAAGAGTAAGGTTAGGAAAAAAAAACATTCTCAGATTGAGATATAACTTAAAATTGAAAAATGACAGAAAAGGAATAGAGTAAACCTAGATCAGGGCTCTATGAGTATACTCTACAAAGAGCTTAGTTGGTACAAAGGACCAAGGTATCTTGAGAAACTCTATCAAGTTCTAAGGGGCAAAGTCCAACTCCATCTCATCCTCAGACAGCCTTCTTGAACTGTGCTGATAGCATATGAATGTCCCTGCAGCTGATTTGACTTTGCTGCACTGCTACTGCCACCCACACTTCACACTCATGTAACCTTTTCTATATCCAATCACGTGGATTCTCAATGATGGCCCTGACTCTTACAGTGCATGCACTGGTGCTTGGAGGCAAGTGCTCAGCTGATCCAGTAAATGAGGAACTCAGGCTGTGCAGACTCAGCCTGGCCAAGTACCTGGTACTGCAACAGCCAGCTAATCCCCGTGCACCTCTACCCACCACTGCCAAATCCAGAAGACAAAAATGTGCTCGGGTCTTCCCCAACATTGCTTTTTGCTTTGTTTTGGGTTTTTTTTTTTTTTTTTTTTTTTTTTT